GGGAGAGAAGGTGAAGGTAACACAGAGATGAGCTTAAAACACTCTAACCCCCTTAGGCTAGAGGAAATAACAAAAGGGAAAGTGGTGCTATTAATCCAGAGGCTGGGAAACAGAGCCCTGGGGGAGCTCTCAGGGAAGAGCTGCAGGTGCTGCTGCTGAGCTAACTTGGCAGAAAGGGCTCTGCGACCTCATTGCCCTCTGTCTGCTCTGGGAGCCACCTTCTGATGAAAGGTCCTGAGGAATCCTTACCAGGATCAGGGCATCCTAACTGGGGTCAGCTGGCAAAGGAATTGGTGGAGTCCCAGCCCTACTAATTCAAAGCACAGTGGGCTTTGAAGTGAGATGGGATGTCTTGCCACCTGGCACAGTCCTTTAAAAGATCACGCTTATATTCAAGAGACAAAAGAAGCAGCAATGATCTGACATGTAGGAAATATCTGCATATTTTGTAAAATTCTCAAGACAGGTGGGAGAAAATGTTTTGCTATAGAAAAGGAGTCAAAAGAGGAATCATTTTCTCCCCAAAACATGAATTCTCTCTAAAGTCCTGTTAATATCATCAATAAGTGTTAGACTTTTTGTAATGAATAATGATTATCCTTTCAGGAAATTAGGCAAATACAATATATGAATCATGTTGTCACAGGATATATCTTAAGGATAAGGATCAACTTAGAAATATTCTATTTTAGAGACACTTATTCGTAAATTTAGCTTATATGAGGAAAATAAAAAGACAGAATTCCCTATGGATTCTAAATATACTGAATTGATATGCACTTCAAATAATTCAGTGAAAATGTTAATCTCTAAATTTATTATGCTTTAAATCTTGCCAATTTTTGCATTTTAGCTACCAATTTTGCTTAGAAAGCAATTTTTAATTTTTAAAAAGGATTTATTATTTTAGTTGGAAGTTTAATTTACGGGCTACAGTATGATGATCAAAATGGTGTAGTTAGCCTCTTCTTATCACAGTTTTAAAATGTTTGATTAACACGTAATAATTGTAGAAAGTAATGCACATACACAATGTGTACTGACCAAATCAGGGTAGTAAATGCTCCCATCTCCTTATTACTACTTTATCTCTGCAGATTTTGAACTAGACTCTGAATACTAAACTTATTCAGAGTTTGTCTTTGCTATGGAATTGTCTTTCATCCACCAAAACTGTGGATGTGCACAGCAGATGACAAGGAATGGAAAGATAAATAAGTTCAGATAAAGTGTCAATTCATATGCAAAGTGGTATCATCAATAAATCTAAACCAGGTGTCAGGATAGAGCTCCTGTGAAAAAGAAACTTAAATATTTAATTGTTCCACTCCTTTTCCCGTTTTTTCAGACACACATTGACAGCCAGCTACTTAGGGAGCAGCACGTTTTTGCAGGATCCTTGCAGATTGCTGGTCCTGATTTGTGTCCTCACGTGTTTGTGTTCTGGAGTCGGCAGCTCTTGGTGGTGCCAGTGCCTTGGCACCATGTTCTTCATTATGCTGGATGGGGCTCGCCACGCCTGCAGGCTCCCTCTGCCGCTTCCTTCCCACCTGACCGAGCGTTCACACCTCCTCTGCCTGGTCCTATATCGGATCCCTCAGAAATGAAGGTGAGGTCTTTCCCCCATTGTCTAAACCCACTGGGATGTCAGAAGCAGGGCGTGATGTTTTGTGGGACTGCCTGCCTCATAGGGGTATGGGGGGCTGACGGGGAGAGACACTTCCCCATGCTGAGGCAAATTGGCAAACACAAAGGCACATGCCACCATCTCCCTGCAGCTCACTGTCTCAAGCTGTTGGTTTCTGCACCCCGCTCTGGCTCCTGTGGGAACTCCTTCACGAGCTATAGCCTGCTCTGTTTTACAGTTTGGGGTGAAACTCAGAGCCTTCAAATGACTCTTTAAAGAACACATATGTATGATTCTGCAATATGTATATAGGGTAAAAATGGGAGTTCATAACCCACTTGAATCAAATGTATGAAATATATGTCAAGAGCTTTGTAAGGTTTTGAACAACTAATAAAAATAAAAATAAAAAAAAGAACACATATGTAGCATGAACTGCACTTACAATTTGGATTTGAACCACTGGCAAGCTATTTTCGTGGTAGCATACCACATTTTATATCAAAATTACGTTTATGAGATTGCACTGATTTGCACAACTGTGTTTGTCTTTGCACTGATGTAATATGTGAATTTGTGCAAGACAATTTTCTGTCTTTGGGAAAAAGGATTTTCTTTCAAGTGTTGCTATCTTGCTGTGTACTTGATAACGAGGACTTGGAGGTTATTTAAGAGCTTTGGATTTCAATGTTGTTCACTCAAGATGAACAGCACCCCTATAACAGGATGCAATTAAAAAAAAAACATTGTAGGAAGTGGCACTCAGGTGAATTGAGAATGGGTGGGTTCCAGAGGCCTATGTTTCACTGGAGGCAAAAGAAGCCAGGAGTTATTCTTCATCACTGCTCTTTACAGAGGATGTGTTTGTTCCAGGTCGATTATAAAATAAAGTGTACACATGATTTAGGAAAAATGATTTATTTTTACAATGCATTATAGGGTATAAAAAATATCTTCCAGTGCATGATAATTTGATCCTCATACCCTCTAAGGTGGAAAGTGGAAGGATGGTGCTATAATACATGTTTTACAGATGAGGAAACACAAAACTCTGGGATTAATATGGATAACTATCAACTTCTCTCAGTGAAATGGACTGAGCTGAATATTGATGGACAGGTGTCACACATCTGGGAAGAATGTTGGCTGACTTGCAGTTAGTCAGCTTGGTTTCAGAGCTGAATTTATCTCTTATTGTACAACTTTTCTCACTTATTGAAACTTTCCTCAGTTTCCTCATCTGTACAATGGTTATTAACATATTACCAAAAAATATTATTACTACTGATGCTATTCATTGAATTACTAAAGTGACCAAGGAAAAGATGACATGTAAGACACTCAGAATGGTGTTTGGTTTGTGACCCTCGATACATTCATCAGGTAGTCAACTAAGACCACAAAACAATAAAATAGGGTTCAAAATAAATAGAAAAGCCAGACAAACACTCCGCATCCCTGTCCATTCATCATTAGTCTTTCTCATGTCTCTTTTCTCCATTGGTCTAATTGGCTATACTTTTTTCCACTCTTCGCTCATTTTGGCAACAGTGTCTTCAGAGGATTCATAAACCACATTTCTCAAGAAACTTCAAAACGATCCATTTGAATAAAGGCTAAACTCCTTTGGCTAAGCATCCAACACAAGCAGAAATCATGCTGTAAACTCCTACCTATTCTTCACACTATAATTACCCCCACCCTCCCGTCTCCTCCTAAGCTCCATTCAACTCAGATAAATGAGCCTCCAAGACTACAGCTGCTCTCATTTCTCTAGGTGGAAATTCCTTTCTGCACTGCTGATTGACAATGGTGTCACTCTTTAAGACCCCATAGAAGGCCAGTCTTCTACCACGTGCCTTTTCCCATCCTGCTTAGAAGTTATTTCCCCTGTTTCTGCTACTAACTTCTTGATTGTGAAACATCGTCTGTACTGTAGTCTCTTGGCAGTTGAGTATGTTCTGTCTTCCACAGAAGATGATATAACAGGAACACAGGGTTTTTTTTTTTTTCCAAGATGGAAAAAGTCCCTTCTACAGCTCCTCAAAGCCCCATTCCTTCTACCTGTCCTTGTCATTGTGTGCCCCACTAGATTGCCTTCTTTGTTTTCTTTCCCCAGGTACCTAGGAGGAAGTCTGGCATGGGCATTGTATAGACTCAAAAAGTCTAGCCATATTGAGGCAAGTTTAACTCATGGGCAAGAAAATAAAGAGTATAAATTTTGCAACCTGATACAAAAGGAATTATATATTTTGTGTTCTCATAATTTTAAAAAATTTATGTCAGTATCCATGAATATTAAGAGAAGGGCCAAAATGTTTATTTCAAAGAAGGAATCACTGTAAAATAGCATGCTTCAGTGGTTGGAGAGAAAGTAAGGATGAAAAGGATCAGGTTGGATGCACAATCACTTTGGATAGAGGAGTCATTAAGGAACAGGACTTTCTGGAAGGAGTGAATCAGGGAACAAGACCTCTGGAAGGAGCGAATCAGGGAGTAGAACCTTCTGGAAAACACTCAAGCAGAGGGAAGAAGTCTGAAACAGGTCGAGTTCACTTTTCCAACCCTCAAGAACTTAAAGGCCAGGTAAAAGCATTTACCTCCTTGAGAACTTCCAAGGACATATAGCACTTGAGCAGCAAGGAGACTCAGGAGTTGTTAGGAGCACGTGTCACCAGTCACCTCTACCTGCAACTTTTGCAACACTGTCCCAATTATTTGAATGATATGATCAACTTTTAAAAAATTGTGTAGCACAATATAAACATTCATTACTAAGAACAACATGGGGGACTGGGTTGTGGCTCAGTGGTAGAGCGCTTGCCTCACATGTGTGAGGCACTGGGTTCAATTCTCAGCACCTCAAATAAATAAATGCATAAAATAAAGGTCCATCAACAACTAAAATATATTAAAAAACCAATATGGTAATTTTAAATTAATTAAGGGCCTTGGATTTATTGAATTGGGATTATTGATTTAAAAGATCCATGGATATTTAAAAATATATTTTTATTTGATAGTTTATTCATTTAAAGGGATGTGGGAAATATGAACTACATAAATAAGAGATTAGATTAACTACATAAATCAGGTTCTCCTTATTCCTTCATCTACTAAAAAATTTCCTGGCCAGGTCCTTTGTGCCATCCTGTGAGGCACAGAAATGAGCCAATAAAGGAAAATGTAGGCAGAAAGTGACCTGTCAAACTGGGCAGACTGAAACTCACTTTCCAGTCATGTCCATTTAGGATGCAGGGAACTCAGTCTACTTCGTTAGCTTTCCTCCAGAGCTGGAGGCTGATGTGCATTCACATCGTGTGATGCACAAGCTTCGTGATAAGCTGCTATCATTTATTTCACTACCAAAACATCTGTGCACTATTTCCATTAATAAAGGGAATGGGAACCAGGATCATATTTCATAGATTTTTATTATATTCTGAGGCCAAGGAAAACCCATTCACTGGTTTTATTAAAAAGTTATAAAATGTAAGGAAACCCTGATGTCCTAAGGGGAAAATAGAGAAAAAGGTAATGCAGTCACTTACATGAATATTCAAGGAAAGTCAAAGGTCTAACTTTAAAACATGGATCTTCAATTGTGTTTATAGCCACATTTTAATTATGTAATCAAATCAAAATCAATTATGGCAAATCAACTACCTCATATGTGAATTGTGCAGTCTGATGTATCAACTGGCAGGTATGTAAAAATGGTTTTAAAAAGGAGATTTCCACACCAACCTTGAAGAAGAGAACAAAAAGGCATGTGTGCAGAGGTACAGAGCCTTACTCAGGGCTTCACTGGTGTTGCCTGTGAGTGTGACACACCACCAAGATTTTGCACAGTGAATCCAAACATAGAAAAACACCAGAGCTTTATTACACCAACGTTGGGCTAACTTCACCCATTATTTGAAGACATTTTGTTAATAAAACACAAAAATAAGAATGATCAACAAATACGTGAAAAAAAAAGTGCAACATCTCTAGCAATTAGAGGAATGCAGATGAAAATTACACTGAGATTCCATTTCACCCCAGTCAGAATGAGGATGGTGAGAATACAAGTAACAACAAACGTTGGCGGGAGTGTGGGGAAAGGAGTGCTCATACAGTGTTAGTGGGACTGTAAATCAGTGCAACACCTCTGGAAAGCAGTAAGAAGATTCCTCAAAAAACTAGGACTGGAACTGTCATTTGACCCAGTTATCTCACTCTTCAGCATATACCCAAAGATTTAAAATCAGCATACTATAGTGACACGGCCACATTCATGTTCATAGCAGCATAATTCATATTAGCTAAGCTATGGAACCAACCAACCGAGACACCCATCAACAGAAGAATGGATAAAGAAATTGTGATATTACTCAGACATAAAGAAGGATGATTTTATGACATTTGCCAGTAAATTGATGTATCTGGAGACTGTCATGCTAAGTGAAATAAACCAATCCCCCCAATCCAAAGGTCAAATGTTTTTGCTGACATGTGGAAGCTAATTTGCAATAAAGAGCAGGAGGGGAAGAAGAGAAATTCATTAGATTAGACAGAGGGGATGAAAGGGCGGAAGTGGGGACAGGAATAGGAAGGATAGTACAATTAATCTAACATCATGTTCCTACATACACATATGAAAACACCTAAGTGAATCCTACCATCATTCCCACCCACAAGAATGGGGTCCTAATTAGAATAAGATATATTTCATGTTTGTATAATTTTATCAAAATCGATTCTCCTGTCATGTATAACTAAGAAGAATGAAATTTTTTAAAAAAAGATTAAAAAATAAAAAACCCACTCAGGTTAGCATATTTGAATTTACTTTATGAAAAAATATAATTGTTCATTAAAATAATTTGATTTAAAAGATTTCAAACATATTCTCCCTTACCTACAGGTGTCCCCATTTTGTAATACAGGCTAAAATTGATGGGGTCTGACGAAACCATGAAACAGGAGTTTTGATATAAAAAGAGATTTCAATACTGAATTTGAGACATCCAGGGTTCTCCAAGGAACATGTCCAAGCCTTGTTGGGGCCCTGCACCCCAGGTTCAGAGCCTCAAGTTGGTGCCAGGGACAGAGGAGTGCGTCCAGGTCCCTGCCCCAGCATTACCACATCTTCTTTTCTGATGAATTGGTGCTTATGTGTGTTAAATAACTTTACCATCATCACACAGGAGGCCCATTCTTCACTTGAAATATTTTTCTTTTCCTGTGGAGCTATTGTGTTTTAAATATATGCAAATTATCCATCTATCATTATACTTAGTTTAGTTTGACAATAAAAAATTTGAAGTACCTATTAGTGGATTCCTGTTACAAATATCTTTTAAGCAGAGAATAAGCAGATCGGTACCATTCTGCACATTTTAAAAGAAATGGAGGGAATGGATATCCTGTGAAGAGCTACAGGACTCAGCCTGTAGTATAGTAAACTTCACCTACTTTATTTTCCTATCTTCATTGCTGTTGTAAATAAAAAGTTGAGACATGTGTGTCATATGGTTAATATTAGTCATTTAAAGCAAATGAGGGCCTATAAAGATTCCTGAAGAGTGAAAACTATATAAAATATGGCTATTTATTTAAAAATAATCTTTGGTGCATCAACTTTGAAATAAGGGACATAAAAGTAAGTATGGTAATAAATAAATCAGCCAAGCAAAGTTTGAAAAAATGTTAATTTTTTATCACAAGTAACGTGTATCAAAATAGGTAAAATGATAGTAAAAATTGATCTTTATAATGTCCAATACATTTTCTATTCACCAGTTTATCAAGTTCATGGAAGTGATTATTTTTGTTAGTTTTTTTTCAATAAATATGAAGTATTCAGAATTGCTGTAATTCTTTGATTCTTCTATTATAAAATTACTATATTTTTCTTTTACTTTTTTTTTAGACATAAACCAAATGGACTTCCTAACAGGGGCATATGACATGATTTATCTGGGTAGTTGGTGAAGCCTGCCTGTGTTGCCAGGACTGAACTGTGTAGACCAGATTGCTTTTCTATTTGAAGGTCAGAATCTTTTCAGCTATAGAATCAAATAGTTTGGAAAATTTTGTAAGCAGATTTATAGTAATACTGGTTCTTAAAATTCATTTTCAAAGAATATGCATTTAATATTTTTAAAATTTCCCACTGAATAAATCAAATATAGAGTGTGCATACAATTCAGCAGCAGTTACCATTACAGGGTTTGACTTCCTTTGTATATAACACATCATCATCATCACTAGCTTTCAAGTGTTTTGTGTGCTGAGGACAAGAATGTTTCAATGATGCAGTTCAAGGTCATAAAGGCCTATGCTTTTAAAGTGCTTAAAATGATTTTCCTATCCTAAAAGGAGAACATACTCCATAAAATTCTAAAAATCAAATATTTAGGGAAGTAAACCTAAATACTAAAGGATGTCTTATGCTCTGAAAGGTGGGAAGAACTGATATAAATAAAACCTGTTCTCCTGTAAGTGAGTTTGAATCCGTCTAACAGAAGAAAACATTTCTCTTAACTCAAGTTAGGAAATAATTATACATTTTATATATCTTTATATAAAAACGTTACAAGTAGCAAGCATGTGACACAAAGAAATGGAAGAGTAACAGCAATATTTGAGAATGCATGCTTTTTACAATGTGTCTAATAAAGAGGGTATTTTTCCCAACTCAAATATCCAGTACTGACATGCAGGGTAGTTTCTCAGACTGTCGATCCAGTCCTATTGCTAAGTACTTAGTCAAAAACATCTCTGTGGTAGGATATGAACAGTGAAGTACCTGGTTTCAAAAGCTGTTTTTGAAACTTGGTATCTCCCTTTGATAGAGAACAACAACAAAAAAAAAAAAATCAAGGGAATGTAGGAGAGAAAAAAAAATGAAATTTTTCTTATTGCAATCTAGTAATTGGACTCATGACTTTTTACTGCATTTAATCATAATAAAACAATAGGTGTGTAGTCCATAAAACCTCTAGCTGGTGTTTCCATGGTCCACATTTTCACTTTCCTCTGTAGCATGTTCAAAACCACTCAGGAACGCACTATTCTCAAGAAGTCTATATAATGAAAACAATTACATGTAACCGAAGGTTCGTCCAGGGTTGTGTTTTCCACACATCACACAATGTACAATTACATAACAAAGACAGAACCAACACAGAAACAAAAGTGAAACTGACAATAAAAATAAAGTTGGGATCGTCTTAATCAGGATCTAATTTCTTCTTCAAGTTTCCAGTAAATCTCAAAATGTATTTAAAAACTAAGGAGCACTTGGTGGCCAGCAACCAAATTACGAAATGAACATATCATTGTGCAGCGGGGATGTCTTGCCGAAGAAATAACAAATGTCTGTAATTCTTAAGTTTGGATAAAGGCAGTGGAATGAATTTAGAAATAGGTCCACTTTTCACAATTCACTATAGAATTTTCTTTTCACAGTCCCCATGTTTGTATAAATAGTTCTTTTCTGAAAATAAAACACAGTTAAAACATTTTCTCCCAGTGAAAAATGCAAGCAAATACACCAATTTATTAAGGTAGTACAGAGCATGGAAATGCGTTTATCTAATTCAGGAATGGTGGATAGACTGGAAGAGTCCTGAGGAGACTAGCTGTTTAACAAATTTAAATGGACATTGATAGAGACTCTTGCAAGTTTCAAAAATAGAGCCACTGTGATATCTGGTGACAAAACAGATGTGCACACAGACAACTTATAATAATGAAACCATTTACATTATCAAGGATTCAAGTTTTATCTTATAAAATTTGACATACCATGCTGCATTTAATTTTGATGAGATGAGCTACACATTCATGCAAAACTAAGAGTGCAAAAATGTTATGAGTATCTCCAAATACTTAGTGTTTTGGTTATGAATAGAATATTGTCAAGTTATATGAGTAATTACTAGTATTATATATTCACTCCAGTTTTAAAAAAATAAATGACTTTTTTTATTTCATAAAACTTGAGTTTCTTCTTTTTTTTTTCTTTAAAGAAAGTTCATTGTTTTTAGTATCTTTACTTTAAAATACATAAAATTGTCAACATCCTTTTAAGTAACATTTTAGGACAATGCTTACTGGTAAGAATACTAACATTTATTTTAAAGTTAAATAGTCCAAGAATCATCCCTCCATCAGCACTGTTCCATGATCTCCATTATGTCTCTAATTATGAAATGCCATGAAACACATATCTCAAGAAATAATGACTAAACATCACATTCCTGAAAAACTACAAGACGATAGCAACGAAACAAAACAAAACAGAATACAACAAAGTGGGAAAAGGAACCAAGGGTTTTTGCTTACCTTGAATTTTCTTTTTAGACCCTAGTTGTGTTGTATTCAGAGTCATGTTTGCTTAGAGACCCAATGAGGCAGAACCTGGAAGGTTACGGCTGTTTCATTCAACAAAGCAATATTCGCACAAAAATAAACATACGCATACAACTATTTACTGCAAAGCATTTCGAAAACTCATAAAACCATGGAAGTCCTTGTTTTACATCAGCATGCAAAAACGTATTAAATCAACTAAAATACTTTATATTTTGAGAATGTATAACAAATGGAGACGGTGCGTAAATTCATAGAACAAACTAAACGCTAGGAAACATGCAGAACATGGTTTAAGAAGACTGGATGTGTGAACTTAAAATAATATTTTCTAATTTTAGGTTCTCTGTCTCCATAACTTTTGCTCCTCTTAGGAGCTGATAATAGAATACAAATAATATGGTATATATTATTTGTATAGAAAGGACAATGATAAAATATTTTAACTAACTCTCGCTGCATATAAACATCAGTGTTTCGTCTTCTAGCATATATGCTATTGTGACCAATTTGTAATATAAGCATAATGAGATATGTGCAAGGAAACTTTTTTCCATTTTCAT